AGTTTTGAAGTTTTTATCAAAAGCCCCAGTGGTTTTTAATACTATAAAAGAGTTTAAGCAGCGCTGATATAGTCCAACCATCCCCCCTCTTTTGGACATAATTTCATACTTAAGAAACATGTTGCCAAATAGTAAAAAGAATTCCTCGGTAGTTTTCACTCCCCCCCTTTTGGTATTTATATTACTCTCTAACAGTGAGAAACTTGACTCCCCTTATCTGCAGTGTATTTAATGTCATTTCAGAACTGCTAATCCATGTCTTCAAAAAGGCCAACTAATTAGAATTCAGTGTTTCAAGTTCTTTTTGTCTTGAGCCGGAGGGCATATACTGTAGTCTAAATAGTCCAACTTGGGTAAGTGATAGCTTCCTTTCTGTGTGAGTATATTATTCATTTGAAATATGGTTCTGCTCAGATCATCTGTGTTTTTTGTATTAATGTTACACCCTCCCCCAAGTTTGTTGATTTTATTGTTTTTTGAGTAGGTAAGACATTAACATCTGATCATTCATTTTACAGATGGGCTGGGGATGTGAGATTATGCTGTCAAGGCCACTGAAACCTTGGGTGTGCTGTGTATTGGGTGCTCAGGGCACCTGGTCTCCACCTTACACCTTTCATCAAACACTCCAGGCTTTGGTATTTTCTGGTGCTTACTGGTTACTAGGTTCCCACAGCTGAACTTGTTTATCTGGGAGCTTGGATTAATTATGGTTTCAAATCTCTGTAGTATCAACCCCTTTTCAGTGATTTACATAAGACCCTCCCAGTCCAGTTTGGCAGTTTCTTATCAAGTTAAACTTATATTGAACACAGGACCAGCAATCCTACCCAAGAGGAATGAAAATATCTATGTCTACATAAATAACTTTTACACAATTATGTCAGTTTCATTCATAATTGCCAAAAAGTGGAAACAGCTTAAATGTTCATCAGCCAGCGAATGGGTAGATTGTCATACAATGGAATACTAATCAGCAGTAAAAAGGGAAAATATTCCTGATAGATGCAACACATGGATGAATCTCAAAAAGGTTATGTTGAGTTAAAGAAGAGACATTCTGGAAAAGACAGAAATCTAAGGAAAGAAATCAGAAAAGTGGTTGCCAAGAACTGGGAATAGGGAAAGGTGATTGCAAAGGGGCAGCACAAGGAATTTTTGGTGTGATGGGAATGTTATACATTTGACTGTGCCAGTCATTACAGGATGCTGTATGTCAAATATATAGATGGCACAAATAAAAAGGTGAATTTTATTATTATATGTAAAGTATACTGCAATAAACCTGACCTTCTAGATGTTTATTTATTTATCTTTATTTTTGGCTGTGCGGGCTCTTCGTTGCCACGCTTGGGCTTTCTCTAGTTGTGGTGCATGGGCTTCTCCTTGTGGTGGCTTCTCCTGGTGGTGAGCACAGCCTCTGCGGCGTGTGGGCTCGGTAGTTGCAGCTCCCGAGCTCTAAAGCAGACTCAAGAGCTGTTGTCCAGGGCTTAGTTGCGATGCACCATGTGGGATCTTCCCAGGTCGGGGATCGAACCCGTGTCTCCTGCAATGCCAGGAGGATTCTTTACCACTGAGCCACTAGAGAAGCCCAAACCTGATCTTTGAAAAAGCCTCCCACTTCTACCCTCTAGCCTTCTTCTACCCGCCTCTCCCGAACTCCTCTGCTTGCCTCTGTAATTCTAGGGGGAAACGCAAATCTTTAACCAGCTATGGGGAGTGCTTGACCATTTCTGAACAGAGGAATAAGATAATGAATTGGCATTAAAACATTGTCAGTGAACTTTGATAAGAATATAAATGAATGAGAAAGAAGAAACTGGCCTGAAGAAAAGCTAGGGGTGATAAATTATAATTGGGTCTTCCATGGGATGTTCTGTGAAGGGATGGGCTCATTCATTCCTTCAAACACACGTGGAGCATCTTCATTGCTGGGCACGGGGGACACGATTGTGTCGTCTAGTCAGGATGTGGGGATAAGCTGGGGGTGGTGGTTTAGTTGCTCAGTTTTGTCTGACTCTTTGCGACCCTATGGACTGCAGTCCTCCAGGCTCCTCTGTCCATGGGATTCTCCAGGCAAGGACACTGGAGTAGGTTGCAATTTCCTCCTCCAGGGGATCTTGCTGACCCTGGGATTGAACCTGCGTCTCTTGTATTTGCAGGTGGATTCTTTACTACTGGGGGAGTAGCAATCACAAATTGGGATGTGAGCTCTGAAGCAAATCCGAGGGAATGACTTGGAGGTGGTGTGCAGAGGACTATGGGTAGAGAGCAGGGATCCAGCATCCAGAGCAGGGTCATGGGCAGAAGATCTGCTGAGAACTGAGGGTCAGGAGGCATTGTCAGAGGAAGGGAGGGAGGAGGGCTTGGCAGCAGAGGGAAAGCTGTGTGAGCCCAGTGTGTTCAGGGCACAGAAGGTCATCATGGCTGGAGGGAGGCAAGGGGAAATGATAGGTGATGAGCCTGGAGAGGAAGAACCCCAGGGCCTGTTGAGAGTGTCCAGCAGTGGGAACTACTGTAGTACTACAAGTAGGGAAATGATCAGATCTGACATGATCAGATCTGTGATTAGTGGTGAGCTGGCTGCAAAATGGAACCAGGATTGAAAGACGGCAGCAGGGAAGTCTGTTAGGATACTGTTTCAGTCATCCAGACAAGAGATGGTAGTGGTCAAGGGGATGGACAGGAGGGTTTTAAAAGCTATTTAGTTGATAGAAATGTCAAGATTTGGTGACTGATCGTTGGAACAGAAGGAGAGGCAAAAGTCAAAAGTGGTACCTTGCACTTGGGTGGGTGGATAGATGGTGATGCTTGAGGGAGAACAGGTTCAGGAGAAGAGATTAGGATGGTGTTCCATGTGAGGTGCCTGTGAGGCACCCAAGTGAATTCAGCAGGCTGTTGGACATATGGCTCTGGAACTCAGAAGAGAAAACATGGGTGGTATGTGAGGCCACAGGAATGGTTGGGAGTGCCTGCACAGCTAGTGAACAGCAGGTGAAAAACCTTAAGCCACAATATTTAAGGCAGAAAAAGGAACTCAAAAATGAGGCTGAGAAAGAGGGGCTAGAAAGCTAGGAGTAAAAGCAAAGACATGAGAAGAGAGGAAATATTTTTTAATCTGTTAAGAGGTCAAGTAAAGTAAGGATCAGATAATTTTGGCATCAATGAAACATTGATCTTGATGAGAAGAGTTCCAATGGAAAGACTGAGGCCAAAGCCAGGCTACTGTGTAATTACGAGGTAATTCGCCAGCAGCCCAGGCCAATTCCTAAACGACGCAGATCCCAAACTCACACCAGGCTTCCCTGGTGTTTCAGATGGGAAAGAGTCTACCTGCAGTGCAGGAGACCCAGGTTCGATCCCTGGGTTGGGAAGATCCCCTGGAGAAGGAAATGGCAACCCCCTCCAGTATTCTTGCCTGGGAAATCCCATGGATGGAGAAGCCTGATAGGTTACAGTCTGTGGGGTCTCAAAGAGATGGACACGACTGAGTGACTTCACTTCTTCTTACTTCTCAACCTCACACTTGACAACAAAATTCAATGGTTCAAAGACTTAAACATAAAAAAGCAATAGGAAAAATATAAGATTAAAGACATTTTTTAAATGTTAGAGTACAAAAGGCTTTTTTCTGGTGTGACACAAAACAGAAGCCACGAAGAGAAGGCTGTTAAATTTGCCTAACTTAAAATTTTCCCTAAGCTGTCACAAGGCAACATAAGCAAAATTATGAACTATAGAAAATTTGAGCTCAGATTTTGGATGAGGACTAATTTCCTTAATATGTGAAGAGCTTTTACAAATCAACAAGAAAACTAACAATCCAACAGAACAAGGAGGCAAAGGATATGAACATGATTCTTAGAGCAGGAAATACAAATGGCTGTTGAACACAGGCACAGACACCCAATTTCATTTACTACAAAAGAAAATTTAAATTTGTGATTTTTTTTTCATCTATTAGATCAACATCCACAGAAAAATTTGGTAACATTTTGCTGTCTGAAAAATGTGGAAAAACAGGGTCCTCTCATACATGCCTTGCAGGATTATGCGTTTGGACATTTATGGAGGACAATTTGGCAATACCTGTGGAACATTATGCATGACAAGTATACTCTTTAACACAGTAGTACTCTGTAAAATGAATTTCCAAGTTTATCCACTGTAACTATGTAACAACAAAGATAGGAACCATCTTTATGTGGAACATTATGGGTTGAGGATATTATGTCTATTCTTACCGGTGTCTGATCCTGTAGAAAGTTGAGGAGAACGGGACTACAATTCCATGAGAGCAAAGATATAGGTGCGTATTTGATGGTCACTGGTTTAGGGGCAAAGGTCGAAGTGAGAATCAGTTCATCTTAGAAAAGAGTGGTTCCGGGAAGAGCTAGAGAAACCAGAGAGGGAGATTCCCGGAAGGACAAAGAAGAGAGAGAAAGGAAGCCAAGATGATGCGATGATCTAGAAGCCAAAAAGTGAGTCTGTCTCTGCCCAGGGTACAGACTAAGGACTGGACACTCCTGGGTCGGAACGACACTGCTGATCTCTGAATCAATCCTGGACTTGCCCTTCCCTTGGACTTACTGGGATATGGGAAAAGAAATTGTCAGTGTCCTCAGAGAACATGGATGGGGTTTATTTCCTAATATCTGAGCCTAGCTTCCCCCTCCAGCCAGAGAGCCCAGACACCAGGCTGCCAGAGCCACTGTCTGCGTCGGTCGCCTAGGAGACGTGCACCACATCCTACTGAGCAGGCGCCTTTTCTGAGGCCACGCCCCCTTCCCGCAGGCGGGTGCTGATTGGCCCGTTTGAAATGCGCCGGGCGCGAGCTCACCTGGGCCCTCAGCGGCGTTTCCCGGATTCCTCAAGCTCCGCGCTTGAGCCGCGGAGTTGTGGTGCCTGCGGCCGATCCCGGAGGCCCGCCGATCTCGTGAACCCCCGACCGAGTCCGGCATCCCCTCCGCGCGCGTCTGGGCAGTTCGGAGCTTACTACCATGAAGCCAGCGTGAGTACTGGGCCGCGGAACTGGGGCCGGCGTCTCCCCTCGCCGCGGCAGGTCCCCGGCCGCGCCCTGGGCACCAAGCCCTGTGCCGCCAAGCCCCCCCACCGGGACCGCCCAGGGGGAGACGGGCGTGAAGACCCGTCCTCGTCCGCCCGGTCTAGCTCCCCGCCTCCCGGAGACGGGCACCTGGCTCCCCGCCCTGGCTACACTCGGCTGGGAAGGGCCGGCCCCACGTTGGGAGGGGCGGGGGGTTTGGGCCGGGACCGCCGCCTCCTATCCTTTCTCTAATTCCCCTTTCCCTCCCTGGCCGCCCGCACCCGCGGGTTGCATTTTGCCCAATTAGTGCGGGTCGGGGGTCGTCTCACGGGTGGGCCTGGTGTTGTGTCCTGGGTTTGGGGTTGGGTAGGTGGTCTCAGCCCCTGAAGAGCCCTTGGCATCCGGGCGCACTGCCTGCCTTTCCGAGTCTAATTCGGTAGCCTCGGGGCCGCGACCACTCTAGCTCTCCCCCGGGTGTAGACCAGTTACTTTCGCTCTGTTCTTTGGTCTCAGGCAGCCCCGCCCCCGGCCACAAACGCCCACATTCCTCACGAAGTTGGTGACATTTGCGCCGCAGCCTAATTCCTTGACCGCTACTGGGTAACGAAATACTTGTGCAAAGAAGGTTGACTTCATAATCATCATCATGATGTAGCTAGTCGTTTGCAGAAAACAGCTTGTTTTCTTAAGAGGCTAAAGTCAAAATTTTTATCTTTGGGGAAAAATAAAAATGTTGAGTTTAAGTAAACCTTCCATAATATTTTGCATTTTAAACAGGAATTTGGTTTTATTGGGAAAGTGCTGAGAAAATATTTTAACAACCTGTATAGTTCAAGCCAATAATTTCACTTAGTGTTAAATGTTTATCTCATCTATAGATAAATGGGGGGGAGGGAGGAGTGTCATACTTGAGAAGTGGTGAAATAAACCAAAATATCTTTTTCTACTGCCGCTACTTAAAAGAGCACAAAATTGCAGTTTGGGGACCACATTTTGTCTGGGAACAAAGGATGATAGTTTTGAGAATTCAGTAGTCACTTGTTCTTTAAAAATAAAGACATAAATCTTGATCAAAGGGTGGGTTTCTTCATCTGCATTTTTATAATTTAGAAATTAATCACTTGGTCTGCCTTGGCAATGGGCTAAGCCCAACATGTGTGCTTTTACGAAATGCCTTTTGAGATAAGTGTGCTCAATTATCTGTTGAGTTTTCAAATTTGTAATGCCTGTAAAGTTGTTGGTCAAGAAAGCAAACCACTTAACATACAGAACTATAAGTAGATATTAAAAAAAACCAGGGGTCTATCAGGCAGATCACTTTACCAGTGCTGACCAGGTAATTCCAGATTGACTGGTTTAAGATTCTACTCCTGGGAGTGGTTGGAACTCTAAGTTAGGTATTAAGTCACAATTTGGTGACGTGGAACTTAGCACAGATAACTCTATTTTGGGCCTGTTCTTTCTTTTTTTGGTGCCACAAATGTCTCCTAAGCCAAATTTTAATTATTTTTAAGTTACACATGTCACAAACACTCTCCTACTAAGGCAGTTTGTACATATTCATATTATTTGGGGCATAGTGTTTTGGAACTGCTAAAGACTAATTTTATAACCCCTAGGAAGATTGTCTCTGTATGAACTATAGGTTAGGTTTTTATATGTTAGTGTTGAACTGAAGTGTTTTTGTTTCTATGACCAGGAGGACTAAGACACCCAGGAAACCACCAGTGAAAAAAGGATCCCAAACGAGTCTTAAAGACCCAGTTGGGGTAAGGTCTGCCTGTGAATTTGTGTATTCTTTCTTCAGTCCCTTTATGTTTTGTATGCTTGAAAGGGACAGAGATGTGGAAGTGGAATCAAAGAACATTTAGCTAAAAGGACTGTACTAAATTGCTTAAGGCTGGTTCCAGCTTTGAAATTTTGTTTCTGTATAGGATTTATTAGTCCAGTAAAATGAAGCCTTTTGTTGTTTGCATACTTCCTGTAACTACTTATATTTGAAAAGCTAGATAATGAAAAAATATTCTTTAACTGTCTTGGAGATATTCTTCATAGTCTCTGGGATGGGGGGAAGCTTTGTGCTTGGATGAACATCTCTCCTATCTTTACGACAGTTATATAGTAACTTACTGCACACTTCAAGAGGAAAGCCCCAAACTCCATGCTATTGGGGATCAAGTTTTATAGACTCTGGTTTAGAACAGTTTCATTTATCTCGTGACTACTCTATGAACTTCACTAGTTTCAGGCTTGGGAACTTTTAAAAGCAAATGGTAAATAAAGGAAAGTTGGCTTGCTCTTTTTTTTTTTTTTTTTTTAAGTTTTCCCTTTATTGGCACTGGAGTGTTATCTCTTAATCTGAGTTGTGGGAACCAGATGCTTTGCATATACAGCTTTCTCTCAACCCTATCACTGATAGGGTTTTGAATCTTGCACTTTAGTATATTGTGTTAAGCTGGCAAGTTTTAACTGACATCCAATTCCAAACAATCCTAAAAGCTTTTGAGATATTTTTCATTGTGTGATATGTTCTTGATTTTTAGAGTTTTCATTTTGTGTGCGTTTAAAATTCTCTCATATAAAAAAATAAATAAATAAAATTCTCTCATATCTAATATATCTGTTTTGCATTTGACAGTCAGCAAGTTGGGTAGCAGATTTTTGGCTTTCATAGCTGTTTATATAGCGCTCTTAAGTTTAGATGTCAAATGTTGGTTGATGAATGAATAAATGAATGAAGGAAAAGTCAGGTAAAAAGTCAACCTTTGTTCTTTAAGCACCCTCTTGTATTTTCAGGTGTACTGCAGGGTACGCCCACTGAGCCTTCCTGAGCAAGAGTGTTGCATAGAAGTAATCAATAATACCACAGTTCAGCTTCATACTCCTGAGGGTTACAGACTGAACAGAAATGGAGACTATAAGGAGGTAATTCTGTTTGGAACCAACTGTTTTTAATCGACAGGTTCTTTCTTGAATTGGTTTTCTATTTTTTAAATATGACAAAATTCATGTTTCCACTTTATTGAAAGACTTATTTACTTCAGTCTAACAACCATATTAAAAGTGTCTAATTTCTGGGTTGTATAAACACGCTTTTGGTATACTGAAATTAAAAGATTGTTTTTAGATGATAATTTCTTATACTGGATATTTATTGCTTTTTAGAGCATACGTTAAGTGAAGTTGCTCAGTCGTGTCTGAGTCTTTGCGACCCCATGGACTGTAGCCCACCACGCTCCTCTGTTCATGGGATTTTCCAGGCAAGAGTATTGGAGTGGGCTGCCATTTCCTTCTCCAGAGCATCTTCCCAACCCAGGGATTGAATCCTGGACTTCCGCATTGTAGACAGACGCTTTACCGTCTGAGCCACCAGGATAGTTTAATGTGGAATGATATCTGATTGTTCTAGGCAGTTATATATATATATATATATATATATATATACATACATACATATATATATATATATATAGTTCCATGTGTGGGATTGAAGTAACATTTAATAGGCGTATACTTGTATCAATTTCTTATGAAGTGTTTTTATTTTTGTAAAATGTTAAGCAGAGTTCAGTTCAGTAAACATGTGCTAAGCTGGAGGGTGGAAGGAGACTTTTAAAAATGAGTAAGACAGGCTCCTTGCTTTTATGGAGCTTACAACTTAGTTGGGAGCACAGATGCTAAGCAAGTAATGTTCATAGGTGACAGAGATGTGCTTAAAGAAATGGACTCTGGGAATGCAGGAAAAAAAAGATTAAGTCAGGCTGTCAACTCTTGTAGCTGCCTTTACTCTTTTATGTGCACTACTCCAGGGAGATTGTTAGTCAGAAGCCTACGAGTGGCCTCTCTGTTGATGTAATGTGATGGACACATCTTTGTCTTCATTATGATCCGTTTCTCAGCAGCACTGTCCTGTCTTCCCCCTCGAACTTTCCATGTTCTATCTTTTATCCATAGCTTTACACGTTGATTATATGGTAATAATTTGGAAATTTTATCTTCAGCCTACATCTTTTCTCTAAACGGAACATCCACTGTTTGGATGCCACATAGGCATGTCCAAAAGAACTCTTGATTCTTTTTCCCCTCTAGATCAGTACTTCCCTTGTTTTTTCTTGTCAATAAATAGCACCACTACCATCTATTTGCTCAAACCAGAAACCTTGTCCCTACCTTTCTCTTGGGGGCTTTCCTAGTAGCTCAGTTGGTAAAGAATCTGCCTGCAGTGCAGGAGACCTGGGTTTGATCCCTGGGTTGGGAAGAGCCCCTGGAGAAGGAAATGGCAACCCACTCCAGTACTCTTGCCTGGAGAATTCCTTGGACAGAGGAGCCTGGCAGGCTACAGTCCATGGGATCATAAAGAGTCGGATGTGACTGTGTGACTAACTTTCCCTTTTCTCTTATACCTCCTCATATCCAGTTCATCAGTAGATCCTATCAGTTCTACTCCAGTGTATATCTTGAAACTGTCCTTTTATTTCTGTCTCTACTGCTGCTACCCTTGTCTGAGGTCTGTTATTAATTATGGAGACTAGTGCTTCTCAAACTGTCTGTGGTAAAGAAGCAACTTTTTATTTTCAGTGCTTTGTGACTGATACTTTTATGCAGCTTTGCCACAAGAAACTGTTACACAATTGTTAGGCAAAGTTAGACAAAGGAGAACTGGTTTTTAATCTGTTCAGAGTAAGCTCACTGATCACATGCTGGGATGTTGCAACCATGTGAAATGACTACAGAGGTTCTGAGCAATTACTCTCTATCTCTGTAATTACTTCCCCTGGACAGGAGACTGATAGCTTTCATAGGGGCACTGGGCCGCCTGCTGACCATACTTTGAGTGGCATTGACAAGACTATGCTGAAGCCAACTGGACCACCTGCTTCCATTCTGAATCTTCTCTGATCTGTTGCCACAGAGCAGCCAGTCAAAGCAGAAGTCAGACCTCACTATTTTCCTTTTTTTTTTTTTAAATTGAAGTACAGTTAATTTACAGTGTTATATTAGCCTCTGGTATACAGCAAAGTGATTCAGTTGTACATATATGTACGTATTCTTTTTCATATTCTTTTCCTTTATAGTTCACTACAATATACTGACTACACCTGCCTGTACTATACAGTAGGATGTTGTTGTTTATCTATTTTATATATGTTGTTGTTCAGTTGCTAGCTTGTGTCTGACTCTTTGTGACCCCATGGACTGCAGCACTCTAGGCTTCCCTGTCCTCCAATATCTCCCAGGGTTTGCTCAAACTCATGTCCATGCAGTCAGTGATGCCATCCAACCAGCTCATCCTCTGTTGCCCCCTTCTCCTCCTGCCTTCAATCTTTCCCAGCATCAGGGTCTTAGTACTTTGTATCTCCTAATCCCAAACTCTTAATTTATACCCCCCCACCATTTTTCTTTTTAAAGCCTCCTAAAGGATAAAGTTTTAAAATGGGAAAATCCTGCTTAATCTGCCTGCTATCTAATTTCTCCACCTCACCTGTTAGTACTCATCCAATCCTGAATTGCTTGGATCAGCTGGAATCCTGCCTCAGGCCTTTTGCCTTAGCTCTTAGCAGGATGGCTCCTCATCCTCAGGTTTGGCTTAAATCCTCCTCTGAGAGTATGTCCAGACAACCCCCATCAGAAGTAGCGCCACTCCTACTTCTGTCCTGCTCTGTACTCTATACTTCCCTAATAGCACTTAGCACCATCTGTAGACTTATTTACTTGTTTATGGTCTCTTTCCCCAGGTGTAATATACTCTTCTAGGGGATATGCACCTTATGTGTCCTGTTTGCCAAATACTCAGTAAATATGGAGTAAGCATGAAGGAATGGTTTGGGAAGGCTCCATGGAAGAGTAGGACTTTGAGAATGTAAAACAGTTAAGAAGTGACTTATTGAATTTTACTTTTATTAGAGTTAATTTCATGTATGTGTAAATAGTACAAAAGCTTTAGTGGGAATTAGAGGTTCTCAGTGTCTTGTGACAGAAGGCAACGCTGGATAATGGAAAATGTTAGAATGGAAATGACTTTGACAGCAATTAGCTTCATTGGCTTGGGCAAGTTCCTTCTTGGCCTCAGTTTTCTTCACTTGGAAGAGGGTGGGGGTTGCTCATGAGGACTTGGAGGTCATCTGATTGACCTATCACCACTATCCTGTGTATCCTTTCAGTTCCAGGATTCTTTGTTCTTCCTTTGAACTTTAAAGCTGTTTTCTAAAGGGCTTTCCTCATAGCTCAGTTGGTAAAGGATCTGCCTGCAATGCAGGAGACCCCAGTTTGATTCCTGGGTTGGGAAGATCTGCTGGAGAAGGGCTCGGCTCCCCACTCCATTGTTCTTGGGCTTCCCTTGTGGCTCAGCTGGTAAAGAATCCACCTGCAATGCGGGAGACCTGAGTTCAGTTCCTGGGTTGGGAAGATCCCCTGGAGAAGGGAAAGGCTACTCACTCCAGTATTTTGGCCTGGAGAATTCTGTGAATCTCCATGTAAAGAAATTAAGATAGAATCCCCATGAAAGGTCATGGGGTTGCAAAGAGTCGGACACAACTGAGCGACTTTCACTTTCAAAGCTGTTTCACAGCATTGGAATAAAGACAGGTGAGAATTAGCTGAAGTATGTGATATGCTAGACAGTGTTTGAGATATGATTAGTATTAAGTGTGAGCTGTGTTGTTATGATGATAATGATGTATTTCAGTCCTAATCTATACTAGTCTGCTTTTGGGGGACAAAACTTCTAATAGTTTTCATAAGGGTTATGATATTGATATCTGAGCAGGTTGAATTTAAGATAAAAGGTATAAAACAGGGAAAAGGGGCCACATGATAAAGGCTATAATCCATAATAAATTCTAGTGAATACTCATGCACCAAATAACAGCATTAATGTTCATGGAGCAAAAACTGCAAGAAATTCAAGAAACCTACAGGAATAGTTGCAATGTCTACAGCCTACTAAAACTAGGAAATAATAAAAATAAAACAGAATTCCAGTGTTTGGACAGTTAGGTCATTTTAGTTTATCTTGAAATGTATTTGTTTACCCCAGTCTCCAGTCTTATTTTCCAGTTGGAGTTTGGTAATATTTTTGATAGTATAGCTGTACTTTACGTTATGTTGGAAGATCTGAGATTTGAAGTATTGCTGCATTTTATTTTATTTATTTATTTATTTATTTTTTGTATTACTGCATTTTAAAGGTCACAGTTATTTAAAATTTATTTCACATAAGAACACAGATCAGAGATTTCCCTGGGGGTCCAGTGGTTAAGACTCAATCCTTCCACTGCAGAGGGCGTGGGTTCCATTCCTGGTCAGGGAACTAGGGTCCTGCATGCCTTGCAGTGTGGTTAAAAAAAAAAACAACTCAGATGAGATTATATTGACAGTTATTTTCTAGTTTTAAAAAAGGAATACATCAAAACTCTTAATTTTTTGCTGTTATGCTATTTTAAAATGACACCTTTATTTAAAAAAAAAAGAAAGCAGTAAAGTAGTGTATGAAGTAATGCTTGAGGATTTTCACAAATCTGTGACTGAATTGTTATAATACCTTTAGATCTTCTTTGTCACTTAATTAAAACAAAATCAGCCTTAATCTATGAAGCATAAGTAGACGTAAGACTTTTCTACATATATACTTTTCTATATATGTGTGTGTGTGTATACATATATATATATAACTCTTCAGTAGTTGTAACCATACTATCCTTCAGTACTATAACCATAAATATTTACCAGTTTATAATTGGTATAATTTAAGTATGTCATGACTTTTTAAAGGTTTCAAGTTTAAAGTTAATTTTTTTTTCATGTCTAGATTTAAGTGTTCATAAGGAAACATCTGAATGTGTTTAAGCAGATGTATTTCTATCCTAGATATAGTGCAATTCCATTTACATGCTTTTTTAAAACTTTTTCCTTCTCCACAGACTCAGTATTCGTTTAAACAAGTATTTGGCACTCATACCACCCAAAAGGAGCTCTTTGATGTTGTGGCTAATCCCTTGGTAGATGACCTCATTCATGGCAAAAATGGTATGGTTCTTGAGTTTTGCTGAATTTTACTTTTTCTCTTCTGGTAAAACTTTTTTGATACTTACATATTTACTTTATGTTTGGTCTTGAACCCAGTTAATTTGTCAGGGTTGTGTTAAATGTGCTTTTTTGAGCAGTTGATTTTATTTTTTAATTCACTTATTTTTTAAAATGTCATGTTGGAGTATAGTTGATTTACAGTGTGGTGGTAGTTTCAGGTGTATAGCTAAGTGATTCAGTTGTACATATATCCATTCTTTTCTGATTCTCTCCCCGTATAGGTTATTACAGAATGCTGAGTAGGTTTCCTGTGCTGTGAGCAGGTCCTTGTTGGTTTTCTGTTTTAATAGAGCAGCGTGCATATGTCGGCCTCAGACTCCCAATTTATCCCTCTCCTTTGTCACCCTTTGGTAATCTTAGGTTTGTTTTCTAGGTCTGTGAGACTGTTTCTGTTTTATAAATAGGTTTATTGGTATATATATATATATATATATATATATTTTTTTTTTTAGATTCTACATGTAAGGGATATCATGTATATTTGTCTTTCTCTGATTTAGTTCACTTATTCACTTAGTATGATAATCTCTTTATGGCTGACTAATATTCTGTTTGATATATGTACCATGCCTTTATCCATTCATTTGTCGATGGACATTTGAAGTGGCTTCTATATCTTGGCTGTTGAAAGCAGCGCTGCAGTGAACACTGGGGTGCATGTATCCTTTCAAACCATAGTTTTCTCTGAATATATGCCCCAGTAGTGGTATTGCTGCATCTTATGGTAGCTCTATTTTTAGTTTTTTAAGGAATTTCCATACTGTTCTCCTAGTGGTGTACCAGTGTACATTCCCACCAACACTGTAGGAGGGTTCCCTTATCTCCACACCCTCTCCAGCATTTATTGTGGGTAGACTGTTTGATGACGGCTATTCTGACCAGAGTGAGGGGATATCTCATTGTGGTTTTGATTTGCATTTCTCTAATAACTAGCAATGCTGAGCATCTTTTCATGTGCCTCTTGGCCATCTGTATATCTTCTTTGGGGAAATGTCTCTTTAGGTCTTCTGCCCATTTTTTATTTGATTGTTTTGCATGTAGAACTGCATGAACTGTATTTTGGAGATTAATCCCTTGTTGGTCACATCATTTACAAATGTTTTCTCCCAGTCTGTTGGTTGTTTTTTCATTTTGTTGATGGTTTCCTCTACTGTGCAAAAGATTTACATTTTAATTAGGTCCCATTTATTTTTGTTTTTGTTTTTATTACCCTTGAAGATGGGTCCAAAAATTATCTCACTGTGACTTATGTCAAAGTGTATGCTGCCTATGTTTTCCTCTAAGAGCTTTATAGTATCTGGCCTTACATTTAGGTCTTTAATCTATTTTGAGTTTATTTTTGTGTATGGTGTTCGAGAATATTCTAATTTCATTTTTTTTTTACATGTAGCTGTCAAGTTTTCCCAGCACCACTTATTGAAGAGACTCTTTTCTCCATTGTATATCCTTGCCTCCTTTGTGGTAAATTGACCATAAGTGTGTGTGTTTCTGGGCTTTCTTTCCTGTTCCTTTGACCTATAATTTTTTGTGTTTTTGTATTTTTTTGTGCCAGTACTATAGCATTTCAGAGAAGGCAATGGCACCCCACTCCAGTACTCTTGTCTGGGAAATCCCATGGATGGAGGAGCCTGGTGGGCTGCAGTCCATGGGGTCACACAGAGTTGGACACGGCTGAAGTGACTTAGCAGCAGCAGCAGCACTATAGCATTTTGATTTCTGTAGGTTTGTAGTATAGTCTGAAGTCAGGGAGCTTGATTCCTCCCACTTCGTTTTTCTTTCAAAGGATTGCTTTGACTAGTGGGGTGTTTCCATATAAATGTAAAAAAATTTTTGGTCTAGTTCTATCAAAAATGCCGTTGGAAATTTGAGAGAAACTGCATTGAATCTGTAGATTTTCTTGGGTAGTATATTCATTTTGACAGTACTGATTCTTCCAATCCAAGAACAGGGTATAACTTTCCATTTGTTTGTGTCGTTTTTCAACTTCTTTCTTCAGTGGCTTATAGTTTTCAGAATACAGATCTTTTGCCTCCCTAGGTAGGTTCAGTCCTAGGTTTATTCTTTTTGATGTGATAGTAAATGGGATTATTTCCTTAATTTCTCTTTCTAGTCTTTGTTAGTGTATAGGAATGCCAGAGATTTTTGTGTATTAATTTTGTATCCTTCAAGTTTACCAAATTCATTGAGGAGCTGTAGTAGTTTTCTGGTAGCATCTTTAGGATTTTCTATGTGTAATAATATCATGTCATCTTCAAACAGTGACAGTTTTACTTCTTTTCCTTCTGGACTTCTTTTTTCGTTTCTACTCTGATTGTTGTGGCTAGGACTTCTAATGCTATGTTAAATAAAAGTGGTGAGTAAACATCTTCATCTTGTTCCTAATCTTAGAGGGAATGCTTTCAGCTTTTCACCACTGAGTATGGACATAAACTGCAGGTTTGTCATATATGGCCTTTATTATGTTGATGTGTGTGTTCTCTCTTTGCTCACTTTCTGGAGAGGTTTTTGACAAAAGCATTTTCTGCATTTATTGAGATGATCAAAGGATTTTTATTCCTCAGTTTGCTAATGTGGTGTATCACACTGATTGATTTGTCATACTGAAAAATGCTGTATCCTTGAGATAAATCCCACTTGATAATAGTTTAAGATCCTGTTTATGTGTTGACTGAAAAGATGAACAACATCAGAGTTGCAAGTTAAGTTCTATTTGGGGCAAAATGAGGACTGCAGCCCAGGAGACAGCACATCAAATAGCTCTTGAGAGACTGGTTTAAAGAGGTAGTGGGGGAAGAGTCAATGTGTAAGATTTTGGTGAAGGGGGATTTCAAAGCAATCAAGTGCTTACTTTACAAAAGCTTTTCTGCTTGTCATGAGGAGCTGATGTCACTATGAAGGGATTTAGTAATTTTCTAGATATGAAGAGAGGCAAGGATTTGGATCAGTTCCTAAAAATATCTAACTATCTAAAGACCTGTTCCACTAGTTTCCCTACAGCACAGAGTGACTCACTCTCGAGCCTGAATTCCCCTCGGGGTGTTGAAGCTTGGCAGCTGAAGGAACATAGGGTTCAGGTGGCAAATGAGCTTCTTGTTCAGTTGCTGGCAAGTGCTCTTGGCAAGTGCCAGTCTGTAGTTGATAATGTATTGTTGGTTGTGCTTTGCTAGTATTTTGTTGAGAATTTTAGCATCTATACTCCTCAGTCATGTTTGCCTGTAATTTTCTTTTTTGTGATAATTCTTCTCTGATTTTGGTATCAGGATGATGTGGCCTTATAGAATGAGTCTGGGAGAGTCCCTTTCTCTGCAGTTGTTTTAGAAGAGTTTCAGAAGAATCGATGTTAACTATTCCCTAAACATTTGATAGAATTCTCCTGTGAAACTGTCTGGTCTTGGACTTTTGTTTGTTGGGAGTGCCTTTTTTTTTTTTTTATGAAGTATAGTTGATTTACAATGTTATGTTAATTTCTTCTGTACTGCAGAGTGACTCAGTTATACACATATATATTCATTTTTATATTTTCAATTATGGTTTGTCACAATAGTAAATATATTTCCTTTTGCTATACAGTAGGACCTTGTTCATCTATCCTATGTATACTGACTCCCAACTCCTCCTTCCCTCTAGTACTCCCTTTTCTCTGAGACCACAAATCTATTCTCTATATCTGTGAGTCTGTTTTTGTTTTGTAGATATATTGATTTGTGTCATATTTCAGTTCCACATATAAGTTTTACCATGTTATTTGTCTTTTTCTGACTTAGTATGGTAATCTCTAAAGCCATCCTTGTTGCTGCAAATGGCATTGTTTCATTCTTTTTTTTTTGGCTGGGTGATATTCCAGTATATCTGTGTGTGTAAGTGTGTGCACCATATCTTTATCTGTTCATCTCTCAGTGAACATTCATGTTTCCATGTCTTGGCTACTGTAAACCATGGACACTGGGGTGCATGTGTCCTTTCAAAACTCGGTTTTCTTTAGATATATGTCCAGGAGTGGGATTGCTGCCTCCTGTAATAGCTCTAATTTAGGTTTTTAAGTAAACTTCATATTGTTCTCCTTTGTGGTATACCAATTTACAAACCCACCAACAATATAGAAGGGTTCTCTTTTCTCCAGGCCCTCTCCAGCATTTGTTATTTGTAGACTTCTTGATGAGGGCCATTCTGACTGGTGTGAGGTGGTATTTATTGTAGTTCTGAATAGCATTTCTCTAATAACTAGTGATGCTGATCATCTTTTCATGTGGCTCTTGGCGCCGAAAACTTGATGCTTTTGAACTATGGTGTTGGAGAAGAGTCTTGAAAGTCACTTGGACTGCAAGGAGATTCAACCAGTCCATCCTAAAGGAGATCAGTCCTGGGTGTTCATTGGAAGGACTGATGCTGAAGCTGAAACTCCAATACTTTGGCCACCTTATGTGAAGAGTTGACTCATTGGAAAAGACCCTGATGCTGGGAGGGATTGGGGGCAGGAAGAGAAGGGGATGACAGAGGATGAGATGGCTGGATGGCATCACCAACTTCATGGACATGAGTTTGGGTGGACTCCAGGAGTTGGTAATGGACAGGGAGGCCTGGCGTGCTGCGATTCATGGGGTCGCAGAGTCGGACACGACTGAAATGAACTGAACTGAACTGAATAGTGATGCTGATCATCTTTTCATGTGCCTCTTGGCCATCTGTATGTCATCTTCGGGAAAATGTCTCTAAATAGACATTTAGAGACTTCTTCTGTCCATTTTATGATTGGGTTGATTGTCTTTGTAAAAGAGATGCATATTGTTGTTGTTTAGTTGCTCAGTTGTGTCTGACTCTGTGACCCCACAGACTGCAGCACTCCAGGCTTCCCTGTCTTTCACCATCTCCCGGAGCTTGCTCAGAGTCATGTCCATTGAGTCAGTGATGCCATCCAACCATCTCATCCTCTGTCATCCCTT